TTTGAAGTTACAAAGACACTGGAAAAAATAATTTACAACTAGTTTTTACACTTACGACCATTGCAGCATCTCTACAGTCATGCAATCAAAATCTGGGCACTTGGTAGCTGGCATGTATTTATTATGATTGCAGAATCCCATCTTGTCACCATTTGCAACCTTTGAATCTGGCTTCTGACACGCAAAATCAATGGGGGAAGCCAGATTCACTTAATGACTGTGATTCACTTAACTGCAGTCACTAAACAACTGGGCAAAAAAGTCATAAATCAGGCACAACTCACTTAACAAGTGTCTTACTTAGCAATGGATATTCTGGATCCAAGTGTGATCATAAATTGAAGACTACCTATCCAGAGGATCTATAGGAGTCAACAGACTCAACTTGTCAAAAGGAACTAGATAGTTGTCATCCTTGATAGAGCCATTATGAAAATCATAAATAAAGTGTCATTGTATGCTAAGATCTCTGTTGGAAAATATTACTTTAAAACTGAAGACAAAATCTATATGTTGAGGCCATATCACCTAAACATGGTTACAATAATTGAATCACAGTGGGCCAAATGAAACAGCTCTAAAATATAATTCTATCAACAATTAATCTTTAATTTACTCTAAAAATTAACGTATTTTATTAGTAGCATGGTCTGAAGGACACATAGTGAAACTGTACTTCTATATAACTGTAGAATCTCTTCCTAGGTAAGTGGGGATTGCAGTCTAAATCATTAACTCAGGATGAAATGAGCTTGCTACATTTCCTATACAACAGTCAGTTTGTTAATGGAGGATTATCAACAAATACTTGGGAAACAGAACTTTGGTCAAAAAGCAGAATGTTCCTTGTAGTTGAATAATTATATATGGTGGATATAAACAGATGGTTCTTAGAGAATTTAGAGGTGTTGCCCTGTCAGCTGGCCAGCGCTGACTTCAGCCTTTTTTTGAGGCCATTTTTCACCCTCCCCAGGCTCCAGAGGCTTTAAAGGAGCCTGGGGAGAGCGAAAACAGCCACCCGCCCCCTGGAGGCCCTTCCCTGAAGCCTCCGGAGTGCAAAAAAACCCCTGCCCCTACGGGCAAATCAAAGGTTTTCTGGTTTGTTCGTAGGGCCGGGTTTAGCCCCCCGGAGCCTTCAGGGCCTTCCGGAGGCTTCAAAAAATGGCCCTATGAACAAACCGGAAACTTCCGGTTTGCTTGAAGGGGCGTTGCTTGCACTCCAGAGCCTTCAGGGAAGCTTCTGAAGCCTCTGGAGGGCCTCCAGGGGGGGGCAGCTGTTGGTGTGGCACGCCCGTGCATGACTCCCCTGCACTTCCTCTGCTTTTGGCACGTGAGACAAAAAAGTTTCGCTACCACTGCTATATTCTATGTTGTCTCTTTTCTTGGACTCATACAGTAACCAAATGGTCTCAGAAAATGCATGTTAGGAAGCATAGATAGGGTGTGCCAAGGTTCTTGGAGTGAGTGCTGGTGGGTGTTGGTGCTTGTTTAACTAATTACATATTTTACTTGAATAGTGCAGTCATTGTACAGGTCCTGGGAAAGACTGAGGTTCTTTAATGAGGCATCCGTGGGTATACCCAGGGCCACTTCTATGTTGTAATATAAAACCAAAGCTCTGCACATCCTATAGATATTTAAAAATGTGGGATGTGATCCTGACAACAGTGAAATGCAGTTTATACAGTTTCTTTGATTAACTTCTAACTACTCTTAAGATTTCTAATATATCTGGAGATAGAAAGCTACATTAATGTGTTTTCCTTTGTTACCTTCTTTTCCTAACTAAAGCCTCTTGGGCATAGAAGCAGTTTCATCATAGGTTGCCACCAATGCCTATCATTGCAGTTGTTTTTTAAGGAATTATTCTCTTCTCTACAGAAAAAAAAAATATAAGTTACCTCAGTCCAAGCTAATATGGTTAAATGAAAATACTGGGTGGTATTATTATTATTTTCCATTCCTGACAAAGAGTTTTGACTGGCGACTATCTTTGACTGTCAACAAGTCAAAAGGAGATAAAGTAGAAGGGGAAATAACAAGTCTAGGGCATCTTGCAGACCCATCTGTGAAGAGTTCAACATAATATAATTTCCATATAACATGACGTGACCTAGGAGGTAAGCCATTTATGCTGGAGCATCTTCCCATCATCACTCTTGATCTTGAAGTGGGATTAGCCCCAAACTTTGTTGCCTTCTAGAAAGCCCTTAAAAAGTGTCTTTTTTTCAAGAGACCTGGGGAACCCTTGGTGGTTGGAAGCCCACATGTTGCCTGTATTATGTATTACCTCCTGCTTGTGATTTTATCTGTTTAGTGTTTTAGTAGTTTTGTAGTGATTGGTTTTAATACTGTGTTTTATTGTACAATACCTAGTCACTTTGTGTAAGATAGTTTGTTAAATAAGTTTGATGAGTTAATAAAATACATATTCACTGATCAAGGTTTTGCAGTAGAAATGAGAATCCAACTCCAAAATTCTGAGTTCTGTAGCTGTTTTTTCTGTTTTTCCATCTGAGTAGTTCTCAGGTTTGAAATAATGTGAATAAGTGAAATCACTCTGGTCAAAACAAGCTGGAAAGGAGGCAGGCTTCTTTCACAAATTGGATAATTGACAATGGGTGGTATCTGGAAAACCACTCATACTTCAAGAGGAAGGGGGGAAGTAACTGAAACAGAGGAAAAACTTAAATGGTATACAGGTAAACACACATTCATACACATAGAGTCCTGCTTTAGGCACAAAGCCAGAGCTATGCCCTTGGGTCAAGTTATTCTATTTCAGCCTGAGGAGGAGGAAGTGATAACTCAATTCTGAAATCTATTCCCAAGAATCAACAATGACTTGAAGGTGTGCTCATGCATGGGCACCAGTGGTGGGTTTCAAATTTTTTTCGAACCTACTCTGTGGGTGTGACCTCCTTTGTGGGAGTGGCTTGCCGACCATGTGACCTGGTGGGAATGGCTTGCTGGCCATGTGTTTTCTCTCTCTCTCTTCTTCCTTTTGTCTCTCTGTCCCTTTTTCCTTTTTTTCTTTCATCTCTCTCTCACTTTTTCTTTCTTTCTTTCTTTCTTTCTTTTATTTATTTATTTCTTCCTTTCTCTTTCTCTGTGTGAGTCTGTCTGTCTGTCTGTCTGTCTGCGTTTGTGTGTGTGTCTGTCAGTGGTGGGTTTCAAAAAATTTTTGAACCTTTTCTGTAGATGTGGCCTGCTTTCCGGGTCCACTGGTGGAACCTCTTCTAACTGGTTCGGTAGATTTGACGAACCGGTTCTACCGAACTGGTGCGAACTGGTAGGAACCCACCTCTGATGGGCACACACAAACTCAAAGACCGAAAATAAAATCCTAATTAAAAATTCTAGCAAGGAATTGTGGATGACCTAGGATGGAGGCTGGCTAGTGAAGGGGAGAGGGGGGCATACCTCCCACAATTCTCCAGCACATCTCTTCTGCCAGTTATAAGAACTCAAAGGGGCAGCTCCAATGCAATGGGTAACAAATTGTAAGAGATTTTACACATCTTGAGGCAGTTTGCCAGAACAAAGTACATCCACTAACGGTGACCAACCTGTTTCACTCAAGGGCATGTGATGTGATAAGACCCCTGTCACAGGTATAAATGTCTATGGTCAAAGCATCATTGTGTTTTGGTTAGGTGCAAGTGTAGGGCCTCAGCTATAATGCAATGTATTTAGTCTTGGCTTAGAACATTATGTGATCTGTGGTTTCTTTCATCACAGCTAAGCAAATTCCATGGGAACCACAATGTCTGAACGAAGCCCCAGCCTGCTTGTGCTCTGACTTAATGTACTTCAGCACAGCCACACTGTGAAAACGCCAGGCAAAAGTTATGCTTGGGCGGAAGACTTTTTCTTTTACAGCGCCATTTATAATGGGGCCGGTTGGCAGGCCAAGTACTCAAGGGGGGGGGAAAAAAAGTGAGAACAGGCGTCCAGTAGCTAGCTTGAACTTTGAACGACTTCTGTGTCGCCGGCGGTGCCGCCACCGCCTCCTAGGAGGAGCAAACGACATCCAGCACTGCAACCAAGCGCCCCGGAGTGGCTATTCCAGGGCTTCCCGCACCACTCGATTTAGGCGTCGGCGACCTCCTGTTGTCGCCTGAAGGGGCAGGGACGGCGGGGGAAAAGGACGGGAGGGCGGGAGAGATTCCTTCTTTCTCCTCCGACCTAGAGACTCAGGGGCACAGCAAGAGGAGGGCAGTTGTGTCAGACCGTCGACTCTAACTGAAGACTTTTTAGGGGGGGGTGGTAAACTTAGGGCTATCCCCCCTGAAAATTATTTAGGAAGAAGCGACATAAACTTAGCGTTGTATTAAGACCATAGATGGCTGCATAAGGAGAGTTGAAGGGAGGCGAAGTCGGGGTGGAGCACAAAACACCGGGGGCGTTAGGAAATAAGCGCCGGGGTATAGGGTGGCTTGCAAGGGGCTCCCGGGTGTTCCGCAATTATTTCCCCCCTCTCTCCTCTGCGCGAGCAAAACTTTTGCGGCGTAAAACTGAAACCAGGTGCTCTTGCGAGGTGGCGCAGGAGCTCCTTGGGAGAGGCGAGGACAAGCTCGGCGTTTCCTCTCTCCCAACCCCCTTCCTCTTTTTCCCCCCCTTTCCCCGGCCTGCCTGCGATCTTAGCTCGCGGCTGCCTTGGCTTTTCTTTGCCTTTCTTCCGCCCGCCCCGTTCCATGAGCTGGAGAGCCGAGGAGGTACGGGGAAAAAAAAACACGTGAAAGCGAGACGTAAGAAAAACAAAACAAACGCGGAATTGCAGCCAGTTAAGAGGCTTGGCAACGGCGCTGCCGAGGAACAGGAGGGCGCAAAACCGAGGGGAAGAAGGTGGCGGTTTTCCTCCCCAAGGGGCTCCTTTTCCCCACCCCTTTCCCTGGGTTCGTGGGGGAGTCTCTCGTCTCCGACGCTGACAGGTGCTCCTTCGAGCCCGCCGCGAGCTCTCTCGCCCCCTTCGCTTCTCTCTCCCCCCCCCCCCCCGCTTTCGTGAGGATTGTGGCGCCCTTGGGAAGCTGATCATGCTTTGAACCTTAGAGGAGAGGAGGAGGGAGAAAACCCTGGAGACAGAGGAAAGAAAGACTCTAGTCGGGGAAAAAGTTTTGGATGGGATTATGTGGAAACTACCCTGCTCTTCTCCGCTGCCCAAGCAGGCTCGCTGCTCCTGCTGCTGCTGCTGCTGGTCTCTCCCCAGCGGTGCAGTCTTCGCAGGCTGGTGGAGGTGGTGAAAAACGACGACGCGGGGAGTACTTGAGCTGTCTGCAAGGACTTGGCGCGTGTCTTGTGCGTTAGAGAGTTTCCACCCCAACCTACCAAATGTTCCTCTTCGGGATCTTCTCGCTGACACTTGTTCTGGTCAGCCAAAGACCGGGAGTCCACGCCGAATCAAATCTGAGCAGCAAGTTCCAGTTCTCCAGCGCTAAGGAGCAAAACGGTAAGAAAAGTCTTTTTCGGCGTGAGTTTTGTGTGTTTTGGGCTGTCTTCGGGAAGGTACACAAAAGAGTCGGAGCAACCCGTGCTGGGGAAGGAGGAGTCGCTGAGACAGGAAGGATTTTCCTTCTCTTCTGCTTTTACAGAGCCTCAGGGGTTGGGCTGTTGGTGGAGCTTCTGGTTGATTTTTAAAGGCTGGGGTTTCAGCCTTGCGAAAAACCCCAGCCTGTTATCAGCCCCGGGCGGGCACTTCTGTAAAGATCTCGGTTGAAACGCTCAACCTGGGAGGGATAAAAATCGTTCCCTTCGCCAGAGTGAGCCTTAAAGATTGAAGCGAAAATGAATGGAATTTGGCAGGTCCGGCTTCACGGTGTGTTTTGTCACTCCAGGAAACTTGTCAGTCTCGTAAACTGAAACGGGATAGCTAAAAGGGCACCAATTAAGAAGCCCAGAAGTAGGAAATAGATTAGGTCTCTTTCTTTCTCCCCTTCCCTCATTCTGAGTTTTTTGCATGTAGGGGGGGAAGGTTATGATGTGTCTGATCTAATCACCCATTTTGTCGCCTCCATAAGTTTGGCACTGTGCAGGGTAGGTTAATGGAGGATGAGCTCTGTTTTCAACATGCTGGAAACAAGCTGATATGCATAGGAACTGTGAATCACTTTTAAAAAAAGGTTTCAAGTGTACCTGAAATGTTTAGAAACTCTCAAATTAGGCTCCCTTGGGTTGGGGCTGGCCAGTCTTGCAGAAAGAGTCCTTTCATGCAGAGGGCAGTTTCTGGGTGTGTAATTTGTTTAGCCTCCAAATGCCATATGATTTACATTATTTAGATTTTAAAGACTTTTCTCTTTGATCTCCTATTACAAAGTCATTTAAAGGAACACTTTACAAACAGAAATATTATATGCCACATGAAACCACACCATGAATAGGGGGCTGCCTAAATTTAGGCTATTAAACACCCTGTTTTCCCGTGGTGGATGCTAATGTAAGGGGGAAATGTTTTAGTAGTTTCCTTCTGAGCCAGAAAGATGTGATTTCATCTCTACACAAACTAGCCAAACAGGCATAAATAAGAGGCAAAAATAAATAAGTCAATCTTAAAATTGCAGTAGGAAAAAATGAATAAAGTACTGAATGAAGGTCTCCTTTGAACACATTAGGACATTTGAGCCCTGTATTTTCTGGAAAAAAAATACATCTTCCTTAATATATATTAAATATTTTCTGGCAGAGAAAGAGAAATAGGTCTGCTCCTCTTGATGGAAGTTTCTGCCACTGAATGCAGCAAAAGAGTTTAATATTATTAGCAGATGGCACCTGCAGTCATCAAGAGACTTGGTCGAAAACCAGTTCAATCCCTAGCTAGGGTATTGTAGAAGTCTGGGGAAACTGATGAAAATAATCAGGAACTGACTTCTATATCTATTGAAAATTGATCACAGTAACATCTGTCCTTAACCAGAGTAAGGCATCTATCTTCTGCGTTTCTTTCATCTGTTAAATTTGGGGAAGGAAGGAACAGTAGTTTGGTTTTGGAGAAGGAAGATTAGAATTTCATCATATGTCTGTTATAAACAATTACTGGAATACTGCCTGAAACTCTAATCCTGCTAACTGAATTTGGTAGTTAGTTCAATTCTTGGATGGAACAGTTGTTGTCATCTATGTTTTATTCTTGCTGTCACATATTACACAAAGCAGGGACTATTGTTGGTTTAATTTGTAACCTGTAATTCCCTAAGGAATCTACAAAAACCGTTTGCATGTGTGTACTTACCTTGTTGTATCACATTCAAAGGCCTTATCAGGAATGAAGGAATGATAAAACTATTTTAAAGAACTATTGTGGTTTAAATGCAGTAACAAATATATTTGTTTGTATAGATATATACAAACATTAAGTCATACTGTGGATTTGTTCTGCATGGAACAGCTACTCTGATTTGTAAATTGTGAATAGTGATTTAGTGTTGTGTGAACCTAGCAGCCCATTGTATGAGTTTTGTGCAGTAATGTTAATCTACAATTAATTCAACTATAATTTACTAAATCTTATTGCACTTCACATTATAGTATAAATTAACCTCACTGATTTACTTTGCACAATAGATTAAGTCATAGATCATACTACTACTTTTTAATTCATCCAGTTTTAGCAAACTGCCAGTCATTAGAATAGTATTGCTCTGGGTAGTGATGTTCAGTTGATATGAAATTAAATTTTGTTCATGTACAAATTATGTTTGTATCATTAAATATGGGAATGCAATTATTTTACCAGAGGTTTGGTAGGATTTTCTTAAATTTTAAGGTAAATCATGAAAAAACAATATCAAACCCATTTTATAATTATACTGCTTGCCAGTCAAGTTGTGTACCTGCATTGCATATTTCTTTTATTATGGTTCTTTTTTTTTCTTTACTAGTGATGTGCTGTGCTACAGTCCAAGCAGAAAATGTATTTTGAAGAGGTGTGGACACAGTATATCTCTTGGCATCTTCTTAAAAAAACTTGCATCTTTTCCTGGTCACATATGGTATCAATGGAATCTCAGAAAAATATGTGTTGTGTAGGATAAGGAGGTGCTGAAAGTGTATCTATGTCCACTGAAGTATCTTGCTGCAATTTGCTGGTGCTTCTTTAATCCCAGATATAGTATGGAATATGGGAACACAGGGCTACTATGTGAGAAGTGTGATATGTATGCCCACATCCCTTCAAAGCATCCCTTTTATGCTTTGTATCTAAAGTGCTGCATATCCTTATTTATCACATAGGCACATTTTAAAATCTAAAATCTAAAGAAAAATTGTCTATCGAATATGATTCTATCTATCTATCTATCTATCTATCTATCTATCTATCTATCTATCTATCTATCATCTATGTACATACATACATACATACATACATACATACATACATACATACATACAGTGTGATGAGATGATTAAAATGTTGGATTAAGAGCTGGAAGATCCAGTTTCTAAATCCACTCAGCCATGCAAGTTTACAGCCTGTTCAAGTGCTACATACACTGCCTTAAATTCCTGAATGAAAAGTGGGATATAAAATAAATATGTATGGAATTTCATTCATCCTGGCTGAGCTAGTTTTAACCTGCTATAATTAGAATGATATTTTCGGTCTGCTGCGTATAGTATTAATCATTTTTGTGGGAATCAGCAGCATAATACACAGCATGCAATTGCCAATAAAAAGGTTTTCTGTGGGGAGCACATTTATGTATATAGTTATACAGTAATAGTAATGTCAGATTTGTTTGTTTGTTTGTTTATTTATTTATTTATGGCCTCCTAGTTCAGTTATTGCCTTATTTACTTGGAAGCACATTTTACTGATTGTTTCTGGAGAAAGTATGCCCAGAATGAAAGCTATAGAGTCAGATCTTAACCATAGGACTTAATAGTAGATATCTATGGCACATGGAAACCTGTCAAATGAAACTGCTTCATTGCTGAGAGTGATTGAATTCAGCAGGCCCTCTTCTGAATGATGTAGTTTTGCATTGGCTGTTGTCCATTTTTTTTTCATTATTGTATTTTATTGTTCTGTATGTTTTTATCAGTGAACTGCCCATAGATACTGGGAATAGACTATGTAAATATTGAATATATAAGTTAAGTAAGTAAGTAAAACTAATTTAGTTACCCAAGCAGAGGCTTTTCATATAAAAGGCTTTTCAGCCTTTTAACTGAAGGTGTCCAGATGTGATGCATTGTTTAGGCTGACATTCCCCCCCCCCCCCACACACACCTTTACTCTCCTACACAATACTGTTAATAACTCTCTGGAATATTTAAAAGTGTTTGCAAGTATTATCTTTATAGAAACACTGTAAAAGAAGATGAATACAATGCTATACCAGGACCATGCAACAGTGTACATTTGAAAAGGAAATGATGGTTTGGAAAGTGCATAGGCTTTTTTCTTTTGACTCTTAATTGCAGCATGTTACTATTTTATCCTGGTTTTTAAAGTGTGTATGTGCTTAAAAAAATAAGTCTTAACATTTCTTTGGAATAAAACATGACTGTTCTGTTTTAGTGGCCTGCTGTCTCACCTATCTATAAGATATTTTACAACCATCTTATTTGGCATGTCATAGCTTAAGAACTTCAAGTTAGTGAAGTTATAGAACCTATAAAACTCTCTGCCTAAGAAATGAATATGTTGAAGAAACAATATAAAATATATTAATTGCTCCCTCTTTTACATTAGTTGATCATGATTTTATGAATTGGTGTTTAGCTGTATGGTTCAGTTTTAACTTGGTGTAATAAAGATTTCCAAAATTTATTTTTGAGTCTTAGATTTGCCCTGAAGGGATAGTTGCTCTCCAAAACATTTGGATAAATCAGTTAATATAGAAATATTCGGGTCAGTATCGGAATTGTTTATTCAGAAATAGGGTCCTTTAAATTTTCTATGTTGCACCTGATTATTTGAGGACCACCATACTGTCTGGCAGAGTTAGCATGCTCCAGGTCCCACTCATTAAAAATGTCACCTAATGGGTTCCAGAAAGCAGGCCTCCCCTGTTATGGCTCCTGCCCTCTAGAACGTCATTCCTCCTAAGATTTGTGCAACCTCCACCGTGGCTTGTTTAAGCAAATCCTTAAAACCTGGTTCCATTTACTACCTTATAATTATATATACTACCTAACAGAGGGTAATCATCTTCTCTTGTAAAAATATAACCCAAGATGATAATGATGAAGAAGATGATGGTGATTATGATGTTATCCCTTCAGTTGAGTCTGATTCTTGGCCAGGTCTCCCCACATCTTGCACTAACTATTTCTTTGAGTTTTTCTATGCCTGTGGCTAGTATCAACTTTGATCATGTCCAGCAACTGTGTTCTTTGACTACCTGATTTCCTTTTACTGCTAACTCTTCCAAATATATTGCTTTCTCCAGTGAATTCCTCCACGTGATATGGCCAAAGTTTTGTGATTTTTGCCTTCTAGTAACATGT